AAAAAGGGAAAAAATAAAAAAAAAAAAAAAAATATGAAAAAAAAAACTTTTTATAAAAAGCCCGCAAGCAGCAACGAGCTTACGGTGCCTTGAGAATCGAGTTTCAAAAGACCTTCCAGGTCATGTCCCAGGCATGAAAAGACCGTGTGTGGTTAGCATTGTGCAGGGAGTCTCTCCTTCTCACACGCTGAACTTGTTATAACCGTGAGATATCTTTATGAGATATTACGCTATACTGGAAATGAGTCCCGGGCATATGCGCGCGAAGAGAGAGCTACGCTTTTCCACCCGGAGACCCTAAAGGTATCGTTTAGATAAAATAATGATATTTATTTTATTCCGCTTTAACGAACTGAAACCCGTAGGCGTCGGTTATTACGATCGCCCCGAGCTTCGTTCATACTATACCCGGCACCGTTATCCCCCCCCTCTCTCTCTCTCTCTCTCCAGTTTCCACGATTTCCATGTATTTCCACGCCTTGGATCGCCAGTGCCGGGTGATGAACTTTCGTCCACTCTGGACCCCACGTCATCTCCTTGTTCCACCCGATCGCCTTTGCGATTCTCCACGTTTAGCCACTAGCTTCTCGTATGTGAGATACGACCAACGACCCTGACCTACCTCACTGACAAATTTTACAAATTAAAAAATTAACTCGTAACTCGCAAGCACCTTTTACTTTAGAAAATTTTTTTTTCGTTTATTCAAGACGATACCTAAGATAAATGAAATTTCGATAAGACCAGTCAACTTGCGTTGCTTCTTTCTCCACGGATAATTTACACTCCCGTCATGATTTCGATGAAACAGACAAGACCTCCTTTCAACGGAGTCCTGTTAATTCTCTTGCTCCGTAGCTGCTATACACATTCAAAGACTCGTTTGCGCTTATAGATAAGCACTGAATTACGTCGTTATGTAAATTTCACGATGCCCGCGGTTTTGCAGTTCACTTGGATATGGGACTCCGGGTAAATCCTCGAATAAGTCGACGCAACCCTGGCCTATAATAAGTGTACGGAGTGTGGCTATTTTTTTCATCAAGTTCTCAAACGACAACCGCCCCACTCGCATCCAAGTAGAAATACAAATTGAATGAGAAACGTTATTCTATGTAACTTTTCATTTTTCCTTCTCTTTTCGCTCTTCGTCCGCTTAGAAATCTTTTCCTTTCATTTATTTATTTTTTTTTTTTACACATAGTACTCTCGTTCACTCAATGAATTCGAACGAGTCGAATTGTTGAAAAAAGAATTATTTTAAAATTGATTTTTTTTTTTTTTTTTTTTTTTTTTTTTTTTTTTTTTTTTTTTTTTTTTTTTTTTTTTTTCCCCTATTACTCGTGCTTCTGTATGCTGTTCGTATATACGTGTATACCTTACGCTCGGTCATAAATTAAATGTTAACCTCCAGTCGTTAATGAGCATCTCGCAGCCGAGACACGAGATCGCGCGATCGTCGTAGCTCCAAGAATGCTGTCAGCTTTACGAAGTTTGCAGGACTACGGGCTTTTGTTAATGCCAGGAAGATGTTATACGAACGGCAGCTCTACGGTGTCTCTTTCGTACGAGAGACGAATAGATTGCATGTGCACGGAGTGA